CCTCCCTTGCCCTAATGGTGTCTCTGGAACAGGACCCGGGGTTGTTTCCCACACAGACCCCTTCTCCTCTTCTGGAAGAGCCCTCCTGTCCCCATTCCCTGAGACCACTGCTCCTCTGTCCCAACAGCCTGGCTTTCATGTCAACACGGGGGAAAGTTCTAGAAGACACTGTCACACACCCAACCCCAGATGCCAGGGCCAAGGACGCTCTCACTGTTGAAGCCCAAAGAGGGCAAATAACTTCTCCAAGCTCACACAGCTCCTGGCCACTATGAAGGAGAGAGCCAGAAGTAGAACCTGGACAGTGGGGCCCAGTGTTATGTTTCTTTCTGGCCCTGAGACTGTGATTCTGTGATGCCCATCCACGTTTCCTCTGCCCCAGAGACACTTTCTGGGTCCCCAGGGCACCTTGTCTGGCTCCTGGCTGTGGCTATAACAGTTCATGTCCTTTTCCCCTTGAGCGATTTTCTTAGAACATCTGAAATAGAGTTGCTACCTTCATTTCCTTTCTCCTGGACTAATCCCTAGTGTCCCCAGGCCCCTGCCTCACTCTGCCCTCCTAGGTCCTGGCACTCAGCAGATGAGTACTCACCCTTCCGGTCCCAGTACCCTGCCCTGACTGGCACAAGGTCCTGGCTTGGCCTTAGAGGCAGAAGTTGAAGGATATAGTGACCCCTATGACAAGCTGTCCCCTTGTGACCTCAGGGACGCCCTTTCTGTTGATTGCTTGAGGGTGAGCAGAGGTCAGGGCTCCCACTCGTTTCTGGAGCACCTGAGATGTGCGTAGGTTTGGTGAGCACCGATTCTGTAGGAGGCACTGCTGGGGAGCTTTGCTCTCTCCCAGAGCCTTCCGGGTGGACATCGTGTCCACATTACAGGTCAAGGGGCTGATGTTCACAGCGCTCCTTTCATTCTCCTAAGATCTTGGAGCTGATAAGAGCTGGGTCAGGAGTAAAGCCCAGGTCTGTCCATGGAGCCCAAGCCCCAGGCTCCCTGATCACTGAAGGGCAGAGGGGGTGAACGTCGCCATGGAAATGAGTCCGTATCTTCAAATCAGACTGCAGCGAGAGAGGTCACTACACAAGGGCACAGGCAGGTGAGCTGGCAACAGCCCTGCCTGTGAGCCCTGGGCCTACACACTTACGATTGCCTGGCTGCATGCTGGAAACCACCCAGACACACACAGGCAGGTGCTGCCCCTCCTCCCGGGTGGAGGAAGCAGGAAAAGGTGGCAGCCAGAGGTGGCGGGCAAGGCTGCTGGGCTGTGGTGGCTGGGGCCCCAGCCAGGATGGGCTCGGTCTGTGCTCTGGCTCTGCCCCTTCTAATCCTCTGCTGGGAGGCTGGGGACTCCTGGAACTTTAAAGGTAAGGAGGTGGGGGGTCTGGGGCCGTGCCCTGGCAGGGTTCTCGGTGTGAGTTTAGCATAGGCAGCCATTGGTTCACTATAGTTAACCACGGGCTATGTGGGAAGTGTGATTCCTGTTGATAATGAGTGTGCAGGTGGCAGTGTGGCAATGACAGGTGTCATTGTCAGGGTCTCTGCGTTTGTCTTTGTTCCCGTGGCAGTGAAGTAGGGTGGCTGGGAGGACCAGCTGGTGGTCTCTCTGCTTGAAGCTGAATAATGACTCCTCCAAGTTTCTTACCTGGCAGCTGTTCCTTCTAAATATGGCTTTGGTGTGAACTTGGTCACAGGCTGCAGGGATAAGAGGGGATCTGAGAGAAGTAGGACTTTAATGAAGAAGGGGACCTACAGATCTGTCACTAACAGGAACTATGCCAGGCTCATCACAGACCTTTAAAATAGACTATTTTTAAGGAGCATATTTAGGTTCAGAACAAGATTGAGCAGAGTACAAAGAGTTCCCATGTAGCCCTGATCATCACCGAATATGGCTTCTCCCCTGTCCACAGCCCCAAAAGATGGGTACGCTGGTTACAACGGATAACCCTATAAGGGGTCATCAAAATATATGGAGAATATTTAAATTAACATACATACATATATATATGTGTGTGTGTGTGTGTGTGTGTATATATATATAAAAACAGTAAAAGACACATTGCCATGAATCCCCCACAAAATTGTCCTCTTCACTTTGAACAGATTGATCCCATTGTTCTTGCCACTTCCTGCAGCAGTTCTGGAAGTACTTTTTCCTGAGTGTCTTTAGTTGCACTGTCATGGCTGCCTTGATCCCCTGAATTGATGCAAAATATTTCCCTGTCCTGGTCATTTTGACTTTGGGGAAGAGGAAGAAGTTGCAGGATGCCAGATCTCATGAATAAGGTAGATGAGGACGCACAGGAGTGCTTTTACGAGCCCGCCTTTCTGCTGGATGGCACTAGGCACCGACGTTCACCATTGTTTTTATTATACCTCATAAAGACACTCAGGAAAGAGGACTTCCAGAACTGCTTCAGAAAGTGGCAAGAATGATGGAGTAGGTATGTTTGATACAAGGGGGAGGATTTTGAGGGGGATTCATGGCAATGCGTCTTTCACTGTAATAAAAAATTTTTAAGAATCACTGTAGTTTTCAATCACTCTTCCTATAATATATTAGTGATATATTCCTATATCACTATCAAACTCATAACCCTATGTGATGGGCTCTATTTTTGTCACTTCCTTTAGAGGTGTGGAGACTGAGGCTGATGGGGATGAAGTAATTTATCCAGAGTCACTTTGCACCTAAATCACTGACCCACACTGCCTCCTGCATGTGCTCAGCCTGCCAGGCTTGTGCTGCCTTCTCCATCCCAACCCCTTGCAATAGGTGCCCCGAGCTCCATTTCCAGGCTGGGAGCCAGGAGACTTGGCCAGGGCTCCAGGGTGGGCACACAGCAGAGCAAGCATCAGGGAAGGTACTCAAACCAGGCTCCATGTCCATGCTGTCCTCCCCTGGCTTGATGGGTTGACCCAGTTTGCTGTGGTGTCATGGGGCAATGACTGAGGCAGGGGTGGGCTTCACTCTATCCCAAAGACCTGGCCAGCAGGAGATGGGAGGCATGACAGCTCAGGGCGTGAAGAGCCTATGGGTTTAGGGGCAGTGGGGCATTTTTGCAATGGGAATGACTCCAGGATAAAGTGGGGCTCCAGGATAAAGGAAGAGAATGCATCAAGGAGGCAGGGGTCAGATGCCAAGCAGCATTTGGAGGTCTGGCTGTGTGGGGTGAGGCAGGAAAGTGCTGCAAGCAGGAAGCTCAGAGAAACGCTAGGACTTTGCAGGGTGACAGGAACTTGAGCGAGAAGGCAGACCAGCAGCTCCTGGACATGTGTGGTTTGTTGGGCAGCTGAGACAATGACAGTGCATGCCCGTGGCCCACCTAATGTGCATGCAGGGTGCAGGCTGAAATTCTCAAGGATCAATGTGGGCCTGATGCTTGCAAGTGACTCCTTGAGGGACACCTTGAGGGAGGGGCTTCCTGATCCCTTTCGGGCATTGGAAGATCAGAACTTCCCCCAGGCTCCCCGAATCCTGCTGTCCTTACCTAGCAGGGTAGTGTTGCCAGTCTTTCCCCAGGGCCTGGAGAGTCCTGGTGACAGGACACAGAGTGGGCTTTGGACCAGAGATTGCCCAGGTCAGTAGGGGGCAGGCATGTCCTGAGCCTTGGTCCATCTCTCTGTGAGGCCTGCAGGAGGACAAACCCAGGACCCGGGGCCCTGTCCTGGCCTCCTAGGGAGAGGTCCTGGGTCTCCCTTGGGTCCTTGATCTATGTTTGTGCCAGTGGATCTCAGCAAATACCATCTCAGCCAACAGAATGCCGCTTCATACCTTGATCCCTCTCCTCTAAGAGCTGGGCTATCTGCATAGAACAAACATGAGGCTTCCAGATATTTCTGTATTTCCGGGAATGCATTTTTTAGTGTATGTCTTAAATATTGCATGAGAAATACTCAGACTAAAAATTATCCACTGTCTTATATCTAAAACAATTGTTCTTCATCAATCAGAAATTTGAATTCAAAGTAGCTACTTGTGGTGGTGCTCACACTGAGGAGGCTGAAGCAGGAAGACTGCCACAAGTTTGAGGCCAGCCTGGGCTACAGTGAGTTCAAGGTCAGCCTGAACTACAGACCTTGTCTCAAAAAAACAAAAAAACAAAACAACACAAAAAACAAAGTTAACTAGATGTCTTGTATTCGTATTTGCCAAATCTGGCAGCCCACCCCAGGAGGCCCTGTCTCTGGCTGACTCCAGAGACAGCCATGTCCCTGTGGGCAGGAAGCCACCTTGAGGGGGCCATGAAGGGCACCTGGGGCCAGGCCGCCACCACAAAGCCTGCTGGGCTGCCATTCTGCAGTGTTTGCCTCTGCTTGCTGGGCTTGCCATCTCTGGTTCTGGGTTCCATTCTGTACTCCCAGGCCTATATGCAGGATGGCCCTGGGTAGGAGTGGGACACCCTCTTTTCCCTCCTTATGGCCCCAAGGACTTTGCCCATTGCCTCCACTTTTGCCCAGCGCAGCCCGAATTCACGATGGAGCTTTCTCTTCCCGTCTTCCCAGGTTCCCGTAAAGATAAAACCACAGGGCTTTCTTGTGTTTTAAGAAAATGCTTCCATGGAGAAACATTTGTTGGATGAGAAAGTGTCTGTGGGAAGCAGACAAGGAAACTTTCAGGAACTTGAGTCTGGTCCCTGCTCTGCAGTTCTTGGCTCACATAAACTTCCGCCTTCCTTGTCCCTCGAGGGTAGGGGCTGGCCATACTTGTTGCCCCTGGTGGCTGCAGACCAATAATCACCTGGGGTCCAGGGCTTGCTGGCTCAAGTGTGTTGTCAGGGCTTCAAGGAGGCTGTCAGGGTAACCCCAGCCCCGTGCTGCCCCATGGGCCTGGGTTCCCCATTCTGCCTCTTCCTCCTCCTTCCTCATTTATGTGGACAGACAATAGGAAATAATACCTGCCTCCCAGCCCCAAGCAATGCCACAGCCTAAGCTCAGGAACTGTGTAAGTTCTGTCTGCTGACACTCACAGCTCGCCACATTGGTCTCACCCAACACAGACCCCAGCCCCAGCGGACCATGCCCACTGGTGACGACAAACACCACTAAGGTGCTTACCGAGATGCCAGGGATCAGCACAAGCTTGGAGGAAGCCTTCCTGACCACTGACCTTGCTAAGACCACAGCACCAGGCCGCCTTTCTGTGGAGACTCCAACCCTGGGCACTGAGACCCTTTCCAAGACCTTAACCTCAGCTGCCGCTGCTTCCAAAGAAGAGACCAAGGACACTCGGACCATTTCCCTTGCTCAGACACCTGGGAAGTCCAGACCACCTTTTCCTGTCACAAAGTTCAGGGACACACAGACCCCTTTCCCTGACACAGAAACCAGGGACCCCCAGACCACCTCCCCTGTCACAGATACCAGAGACACCCCAACCATTCCTTCTGCATCAGAGAGCAGGTATACCCAGACCATTTCCCCGGCATCAGATTCCAGCACACTCACAAAAATAATCCCTTCTGACCCCATGGCTGCAATCACCTTCCCTGTAGAGACTTTGGCCACAGGCAGCAGCTCCATGAGGACTAGAGAGACCACAGTTGAGGCTCATCCAGGCAGGAACCCCAGGAAAGTCATCTCTGACACCCTTTATACCGATGACAGCTCTGAGGAGGCAAGATGGATCACAACCAACATCTTGACACTGGTGCACACCACTGGGGAAGCTGAGAGCCTGTCCTCCTACAGCAGATTTTCCTCAGACAACTCTGTGGCCATCATCACCACCTCCCAAGCCCTGGGTCCTGACATTGCCACCCCCAGCAAGGCCTTGGCCCCTTCCAGCACTACCCACAATAAGTTCCTCAGGAAGACAGAAACAGCTGCCGTCATCTCTGGGACTTCAGACACAGATCACAGCTCCACGGGAGTGAAGGTCTTGTCCACCTCTGAGACATCAGTTTTGTCTGCCTCCACTGAGGCAAAGTCACCCAGGCCCAGCCCCACATCCCCTGCTGAGACCCTGTCCACAGCCAGTGCCTCAGAGTTAGCCACCCCCAACACCACCCTTGAGGCCTCACTGCCCAATAGCACCACAGAAACAGAAGTAACACCAGGCTCGACCCCTACCCCTGGGGAAACTCAGGTGACAGTTAGCATGGCCCCCTTGGGAGAAACCTCAGCCCTCTCTCAACAGAGCTACACCACGGTGTCAGGAGCAGTTACAGTCTCCGCCAAGGCTGCGTCAACAGTGGACGAAATGACTTCCTCTGCTGGATCTCCAGCTTCAGTCTCCAGCTTTTCAGAAGGGCCCACCGTCACGAACTCCACCCTTTCAGAGACTTTTACCACAGAAGACACAACCAGCAGAGCTGTCTCCACCAGCAGGGGCCTTTTTCTTTCTGTCCATCTGACTACAGCCAGCAGCAGCCAAGAGACAAACATCTCAGCCATGACCATGACCTCACCAAAAACCCCTTCAGAGACTTTTACCCCAGACAGGGCCTTCCCCACCAGCAGCTCTCTTTCTCCTGTCCATCTGACTACAGCCAGCAGCGGCCAAGAGACAAGAGTCACCTCAGCCATGACCATGACCTCACCAAAGGCCGCTTCAGAGACTTTTATTACAGAGGGCACAACCAGCAGGGCCTTCTCCACCACGAGCAGCCCTCTTTCTTCTGTCCTTCCAACTACAGCCAGTCTCAGTCAAGAGACAACCGTCATCTCACCCTTGACCATGACCTCACCAAAGGCCCCTTCAGAGACTTTTACCACAGAGGGCGCAACCAGCAGGGATTTCCTCACCAGCAGGATCTCTCTTTCTTCTGTCCTTCCAACTACAACCAGCAGCAGCCAAGACACAAGAGTCACCTCACCCATGACTGTGACCTCACCGAAGACCCAGAGGAAGCCCCCAACAGCCATATCCTCCACTGTTTGGACAAGGCTGACTCCAGAAGTTACTGCAGGTAAGTGACTCCTCTAATATGTGATCTTTGGGATTTAGGGGTTCAGAGTCTTTGGCGCATCTGCAAGCATAAGGATTTGGGTAGGGAAAGGATCTGAGGAGCTGTGCTGAGCCCTCTCAGCCATATTGTCTCTTCATGGTCACCTAGTGGTTCTTGCCGAAATCAGCAATATGCAGAGTTAGATGTAGTAAGTATATAAAGGGAGTGGGGCTGGAAGTGTGGGAGAGTAGTTTGAGATACTGGCTGGCACTGCCCTTAACAAGCTGTGATCTTGGACCAGTCCTTCTCCCTCTCTGTGCCTCAGTTTCTCCACCTGTGGTGAAGGAGATTGCACTGGATGAGTAATGAAGCCCTTTCCAACTCTGCCTTTCTGTGAAGTTAACTGCTGGGTAACAGCAAGGTCCCAAATGTAATCCCAGCTGCTCTGGAGGCTGAGGCTGGAGAATCATGAGTTCAAGCCCAGCCTGGGCAACATACCGAAACCCCACTCCAAACACACACACACACACACACACCCCACCACCACCACCACCACCACCACCACCACTGTGACCTCCACGCTTTGGAAGCCTCTGCTCCAGCTCTAGCCACAGGCTCACTGAATGGACTTGCTGGAATCTGTGCCACTGTAGTGACTTAAAATATTGAAGTTGGGCTGGGGATTTAGCTCAGTGGCACCACGCCTGCCTCACAACTACAAGGTCCTGAGTTTGATCCCTGGTACTGCAAAAAACAAACCAAAAAAAACCCAAAAACTGAAGTAACTAGGGTGAAGTTGAGGATGTTCCAGAAATCACAGAAAGAAATACACAGAGACACAGAATTGGGTAAAATAATAAAAGTTTACTTGCAAGCAGGCAGGACTGCCGGAAACTGCTCTGGTCAGTGTCCACCCCGATATTTGTTCTGTTTCCCCTTTTATACCCTTTCTGGTCATTATCTCATCCCTAGTGGTCTTTGTTAATTAAAAAATTCCAATTCACGTTTAATGGTTAAACACAAGTGGTTTCTGTTAATAGTTACAGCCATAAACACATGACAGTTAAAACACGTATCACAAATTTGCCCAAGCATTGCAACTTTGTTTTTCAGAGTTAAAATGTTATCTATAGTAAAGCTATACATCAAACAGTCATATAACCTTCACTTTAAACAACAAGAGCAACGGGGAAAAGCAAGTCTTAAAGGGATACAGTACCTATTTTGCTTTTACAATTACTTTAATATTTAATCTACTAAGCTGTCTAAAACTTTTCCATATTAGGGAGGCTATAGCGGCAGCTCCAAGACAGCAGCTAAGCCTCAGGGCAGAAGCTTGTGTCACAAGCGGCTTCTCAGCCTGGCTTCCATCAGCCTATAGCCTCCGCCTCCAGCATCCCTCTGTCCATATGCCTCAGCCCTGAGCATCTTCAACTTGCCCATGACCACCTTATCTGGTGTCTTTTGTATTCTAGGCAGAGGTGATGTAAAAATATTTCACAAGGAGGAAGTGTTGGTACCAGCTGAATGCTCTCTCTGAGCTTTGCACGCCTCTTCTAACCTGTCCCCCAAAACAACTGTGGGAGGAGGAAACAGATCTAAGGGTGGTAGCGGGATTGTCCTAGAAAGATGGCAATGGGATTCAAGCTAAAGCCTGTTTGATTCCAAAGCACATAGGCTCCTCATTGTACTTTTTTTTTTGGTACCAGGGATCGAACTCGGGTCCTTGCACTTGCACAACAGGCGGCAAATGTACTTTTCTTTTTAAAAATCTCAATGTATTAGTTTTCATTTTAAAATACTTTTCTTCATTATTTGTTAACTACATAATACATTCACATGATATCAAATTCAAAAGGTATATATATATATATATATATATATATATATATATCCCTAAATGATCTTCATCTGTATCTATATATCTTTCATCCTTTATTTTTGCAAACTCCAATCTATGTAATACAGCTATTTTTTTTCCTCAAGGTTAGATTTTTTTTCTAGGTTTTTATTCATTTCGTATTGAGTTAATGCTCGTCACTTTGCATTTTAGCTTTTTGATTTTGACTTCTTTTTTTTTTACTGTGGTAAGAACCCTTAACATGAGATCTGTCCTACTAGATTTTTAAGTGTACAGAACAGTATTGTTATCTATATCCACTATGAGAAGCAGATTTCTAGAACTTCTTCATCTTGCATAACTAAAATTTTATTCTATTGATTATCAACTCCCCATTTTCTCCTCCCTCCAGAAAGCCATTTATTTATTTATTTGTTTGTTTGTTTATTTATTTGAGACAAGGTCTCACTACGTAGTTCAGGCTGGCCTCACACTCATGGTGATTCTCTTGCTTCAGTCTCCCAAGTGCTGGGATTGCAAGCATTCACCACTACATCTAGTCCATTCTTTTCTATGGTCACTCAGTATTTCCTTTGTCTCCTCACCATTTATTTAGCCAGTCTTCTGTGGGTGGCACTTTAGCTTGTTCCTGCAACAAACAGCACTGCAATAAACAATCCATTTCTCCCATGTGCACCAGGATAAACTTCTAGAAGAGCAATTACTGGGTCAAATCTAATTGCATTATCATTGGAAGAAATAGCTTTGAGGTGGCAGCTAAAGGAAAAGAGATGAGGGCACCATGAGAGACAGAAGTTTCTGGTACAGCTGCTAAGGCAGGAAGGCTGAAGTAGAGGTCCTCTTCCACCCCCAGCAACTTAAACCCAGCAGGACTGGCTGTGGGCGCCCCCAGACCAGCCTCTGTCACCATCTCCTGCCAGGACCTTTCCCCAACAGCCCATCTGGGACCTTTGGGCCTTGAGAACATTCTAGATCCACTGGTCCTCCCTCAGGCTTCCTTTTTTGGTTTCTCCACATGTGCCCCAAGCCATGGTGGCTTTCACTGCCGTGGGCGTGATCACCCCTGAGAAAGAATCCTGCCTTCTCTCTGTGGCAAGCCAGTGTGAGCTCCTGGGTGAGCACAGACACTGGCGCACAAGCCAGTGCACACCTAGGTGTGAGGGGCAGAGGCTGGCAGCCGAACCACCACCTGATTCACGACCTGCCTTGACTGTATTCCCTTCTTGTTCTTAACCTATATGCAGGTGGAGATGGAGGCTTCCTCCTCATGAGGCTGAGAGTGGCCTCCACAGAAGACCTCACAGAGCCTACAAAGGCAGAGAGGCTGGTTCAGCAGGTGAGGGGGCACTGTGGGGGCCCAGGGTGTGAAGGGAGAGGTTCTTGGGACTGCAGGATGCAGAAGAGCAGTTACAGCATGGAAGGATCCCTGCCTGGCTTTGCTTCTGCCTGGCTTCCCTTCCTTCATTCCTCTTCTCTGCAGTGGAAACAAACTCCTCTCCCCAGCCCCAGTTTCTTCAGGTCCTAGGAAGTACAGGCCTTCTCGTCCCTGAGGGGAAGTTCAGTGATACTGATGGGCAGGTAAACAGGACTCTTGTTTGCAAGTGGCAGAAACCCAACTTGTAGTAGTTCACATGGAAAAGGCAGGTCTGCAAAACTGATAGGTGACTCTTCTGGCTTCAGCTAGAGCTGATTCCAGTAGCTCAAACATGATCATGAGGATTTTCTCTGTCTACTCTCTCCCATTATTTTTCAGACAGAGATGTCCTCTGTACATTCACAAGACACCTCCGTATTAGTCACTTTCCCATCACTGGGACAAAATGCCCAGTAGTTGCAACTGAGAGGTTTATTTGATTTGTGGTTTCAGAGGGCTCAGATCATGGCGGGCTGACTCTAAGGTACATACATCATGGTGGAAGAGCATGGTGGAGGAAAGCTGCTCACTGCCTGGCAGCCAGGCAGCAGAGAGGGAAGGGAGGAGTCAGGGACAAGAATTCACCCTTCCAGGTCATGTCCTCAGTGACCACCCCCTCCATCAACCCCACCTCCTCACAGCACATGAGCTCATCACTAGGAGTATAGCACCCGGTGATCCAGTCGCCTTCCACAAGCCCCACCTCTGAACACATGAGGCTTTGGGGGGACATTTAAATCTGAGACCCTGTGTCAAAGCAAAAAATGAAAAAAGGCTACTGAGTAGCTCAGTGAAAAGGCCAAAAAAAAAAAGTTGTCAAAGCCGTAACAGTTTCAACACTGCCGAAAAGTCCAAGGCCAAAGTCTCCTCTGAGATTCAAGGCAAACTCATACCTGTGAGTCACTTCAAACATAAATGTTAAATACTTCCAAAATACAACAGCACAGAACAAACATTCCCATTCCAAAGGAGAGGAACAGGGGGATAAAAATGAAGTGGACCAAATCAAAAACAAAACCCAGCTGGGCAGACATTACGTCCCGAGGCTCCGTGTCTGTCATCTGAGGCACATGGTGGTGAGATGTGAGTTCCAACTTGGGCAGCCTCACGGCTATGGGTTTGCCTGTTGCAGCCCACATAGCCTCTTTCTTGGACTGACTACACTCACAGCCTGCTGCTTTCTCCAGTACACTGTCCATGTTCCTGGCAGCATCTGGGGAAGATCTTCAGGGTCATTAATGGTAATGTGTCTTTCATTGTAATATTTTTAAAAAGTATTTAAACATTCACCATATTTTTTTGTCACACTCTATAGATTTGGCCCAGATGAAATAGAGATACGAGGTTAAAAAAAAAAAAAATCAACATATGCTCTAGATGCGGACCAAGATTGGGATGTATTTGTATAGCAAGTTGGGAAAATTCTCTTAAACTCAGATTATTGGACAGTTTCCAGTGGTGACATTTTGGGATCAGAGCTTTGGGCAATGGTGTGAAACATTGGAAGGTTAGACTGGGTCAGGCCAGTGCAGATGTCACAAAGGAAGAGGTGCAGTGTGAAGCAGTGGGAGATGTCTGAGCTCTGCCCACAGTGTCACCAGTGAGAACCGACCCCAGGCAAGTCTATTGTGATTGTCCCTTTGACAGTGGCCTATGGCGCCCCACAGCCGTCCACGGTGCAGGCTTACACCATGAGGATATGGTGACCCTTGGCAGATGGAGGCAGAGTATACTCATTGTGAGTAGGATCCTTCATTGCAGGCAAAAAAGGAAAAAAAACCACCCACTGTCTGTCATAAGTAAAGGGGGGATTTGTTGATAGGATCATAGGTGTACAGAATCAACGGAACTCCAGAGGAGCAGGCTTGAAAAACAAGTAGGAAGCACACTCCTGGGACACTGGCACTCCTGCTGGCCACAGACACTATTGGATGCAGCCACAGTCAGTGGACATCACACTGCCTCACCCACTATGCAGTCACCTGCTTCAGAGTCAGAGCCCTTGAGGGCCAGGGATTTAGCTCAGTGGTTCCGCCACCTGCCTCAAAGCGCAAGGTCCTGAGTTTGATCCCTGGTACTGGAAAAAAAAAAAAAAATATCAGAGCCCTCGATGGGAACATCCAATCAGCTGAGCTTAACTCTGTGCCCACAAACCCCTTCCAGGGCTCCTCAAGTTCCCTTCATGGCAGGGAGGCCCATCAAGACTCCCCCAGTGAGGGCCTTCCCTAATCAAGGCTTTTGGGGGTTTGCTGTGAGACACCCACATGTGTGACAACTGCCCTCTACTCAAGAAAATCAAAGTAGTAACCAGTGTGAATGGAGACAAAGAGGGAAGCCTGGGTCAAATGTCAGATCTGAGCCTACAAATTGGAAATTATTTCAGATCCCAGGAGCCAGGGAGACCTGGAGCAGTTCAGGCAGCTGAGGTGCAGGCAGCAGGCCATGCAGGGCTTGAGCGTGTGTGAGGGGAGAGCCAGTTGCTCAGGACTCAACTCAGGGACAGATACATGGTATCAGTCAGTGCCATGATCCAGGTCCAAACCAAGGAATGGAGAACATGAAGGGAAGAGGGAACAATGGGTCCTACTTGCATTACGCTTTAGGTCGTGGGGCCATGTAGACCTGGGTGCGAATTCCAGTCCCTACCTGTGTAACCTTGGGTAAGTTCTTCCCTTGTAAAATGAGGATAATAAAACCTGCTTTACAAGGTTGGTGTGAGGTTTAAATGACATAATGACACTGGAGGAGTGTTGTGGATGCTCCCTCCTGCTGTCCTCTCCTGCCCTTGGCCTGTGGTAAGCTCGTGGACCAGATGGGCTGGACTAGCACCTGTCTCCTTCCGTCTCTAGCTCCAGTGTGAACTGCAAGCCAGCTTGCCTGTTGCCCAACTCTCCTTACTGCATGTCCAGAGAAGCTGAAGAATATCAGCTGCAGCCAGGCGAGTCCCCTGTGCCAGAGGAACAACCCAAAAGGAACTATACCCTGAGCCCGCCGACAGACTAGAGCTGCGTGACTGTGCTGATGTGGACCCAGAAAGTTCCCACGAAGGTCAGCTGGTTCAACCCCTTACCCGGAAGTGATTGCAGGATCCTGGCTCACTTCTGTGTGGAGAAGGGGCTTCCCCTGTGCCCAGCAGTGTCCTTCACTCCCTGGGCCCATGCGTTATAGTCAATAAAGACAGACCTGATCCCTCATCCCTGCACTTCTATGTGTTCTGCATACTGTGAGCATTTAGGTCACATAGCTGTCTTAGTCACTTTTCTCATCGCTGGGACCCAAAACCTGAAGGAGGAGAGGTTATCCTGGCACATGGTTTCAGTGCATGGTCAGGCAGCTCCAAGGCAGGAAGGCCTGGTGGAAGAGGCTGGCAGAGGAAACTGTTCACATCACAGCAGCCAGGGAGCAGAGTGTGAAGAGAGGAGCCCAAGAGGGAGATAAACCCTTTCTCATCACACCCTCTGGGCCCTCTCTTCCTACAAGGCCCCATCTCCTAACGGCTAGTCAACTATGGTGCCCCCAAGATCCAGTCACCCCGAAGCCCTGTCTCTCAGCACGTGAGTGTTTGGGGTGTCATTCTGGATCTAAATCACAATACAAGTAGGATCTCTCTGGCCTTCATGGTCGCCGCTTCTTGGCTTGCACCTGGATCATGGCACTTACTGAGGCCAGCCCTACAGTCTGTTGAACCTTGAGTTCTGTGTTAGTCCTCTTATTGGAGATAATTAATTCATTAAGAGAAAAGATTTATTTTGGCTCACAGTTTTGGCATTTCCAGTCTGAGGTCAGGTAGATCTTTTGCTTTGGGGCTCAGGTGGGCTTGCTGAATGGCAGCAGTGGGATGATGGATGCGTGATGGAGGTGACTGCTCAGCTCATGGCCAGAAAGCAAGAGAAAGGGAGAAGAAGGGGCTGCGGCCCCCAGGGGCCTAAGGAGCCACCTCCTAAAGCCACCACTGTCTTCCCAAAGAACTACGCTGGGCACCTGCCTTCATGACACAGCCCTTGGGGGACACCCATCCAAAACAGCATGCTCCCTCGGGGCAGAAATCATCTTTGTTCATCTCAAATCCCCTGAACCCAGCAGGTTCCCTGGCCTGAGACAGGATCACAGGAAATGTTTGTTGAATTGACTTAAATTTCAAGTTCCACACACAAAAGCAGATTTAAAAGAGAAATCTTCAGGGTGAGGGATTTAGCTCAGTGGCTCTGCCACCTGCCCTGCAAGTGCAAAGACCTGAGTTCAAACCCCGGTACCAAAAAAAAAAAGAAAAAAAAAGAAAAATCTTCAATATTCAACTATCCCACTCATACTTTATAACTCACATGCTATTATTATTATTATTATTATTATTGTTATTTTGTTTGTTTGTTTGTTTTTTGAGACAGGGTCTCTCTATGTAGTTCAGGCTGGTCTCGAACTCACTATGTAAATATCCCAGGTTGGCCTCGAACTTGCAGCAGTCCTCCTGCCTCAGCCTCCCAAGTGCTAGGATTATAGGTGTGTGCCACCATGCCCAGCCCTATTATTATTTTTAAATTAAATGTGACCTTTTTTTCTATTATAAAAGCAAAAGTTGCTTATAATTTTTTTGAAAAATATTTTTAAAAAAGATAAGAGAGAAGGAGGAAAGAAAGGAAAAACATGTACAATCCCATCTCATATATGACTCTTGTTAATGCATACATTCAGTTGTGGATTCAGCCTCTCCATGTGGATGGCAAGGACCTCACATCCTGTATTCCTGAAATTGAGGTTCCGCCCTTTTCCCTTCAACCTTCTGCCTGTGTCTCCCCCATCGTGGGTCATGTCAATCCCATCCTTCAGCTGCTCAAGCCCAAATCCTTGGACTTGATCTTTATTCTTCTCTTTCTTTCACATCTTACACCAGGAAATCCAGTTGGCTCTGCTGAATGCCCCGAATCCGATTTCTCCTCACCATGGCCACTGGAAACGGGTCCCAAATGTCCTCCTCTCTCACCTGACCACTCCAGTCTCCCTGGCTTCTTTCAGATCCCCATCTGCACCTTTGGCCACCACCCCCAGTCCAGTCTCAACATGTCAGCCAGAGCTGGCTTTTTGTGACATAGTGCAGGCCTCACCACCTCTTTTCCCAACTCACCCAGGGCGAAGCCTTGTGTGACACTGGCTCCCCCAGCCCCTTTACCGGCGCACTGCAGGTTCCATTGAGTTCTTTGTTGTCCTGGGATGCTAGGTCTGGGGATCTTGGTGCCATTGCTGTCTGCTGAGACCTCTGCTGAGGACACCTGCTGGCCAAGTCCTCCATCTCCACATCCTTCATGACCTTCATAGTGAGCTCTCCCCGAGGCACCCTCCTCAAAAATCGACCTCACACATCTTTCATTGTTTGACCTGTTTATTATCCCTGTGGTCCAACTATAATAAAGGACTTTTCCCATCGTGCTATCCCTAGTGCCTGGCACATGAAAGGTGCTCAGAGCTGAGGGTGCAGCTCAATGCCAGGGCACAAGCTCAGCACACATGTGGTCCTTGGGTCACCAAGCACAACATGAGGGCACCCCACAAATATTGCCCAGTGCATGAAGAAAATGACAACCCAACTTGCATATTCCTCTGAGTGAGTGTGGATTCAACAGACCTTTAAGATTCTAAAGTTGTGTGTATGTAAGGTAAAAATGCTACGTCTTTCACGAAGACAAAGGTAGGTGTGGACCTTAGCAAGACAGCCTGTGTAAAGTGATCTGTGACTCAGCATGAACCCTGAGGAGGCAAAAACCCAAAGCCTGGAGGAGGACAGTGTCGAGCAGGGCTTTTCACTTGAAGCTTCTGCCCTGGTCAGCCCTTCCTCCTTCCTGTTTGAGGGCCACTGGCCAGCATTCTGTGCCAAGTAGTGAATGATAACTAATTCCATGGTGTGTCTCACAGTTAAGTGAATGGCATTGAGTTATGTTTTGGTGTCAGTAAATGCTTAAAGTGGCATATAGGCCAGTTATTTATTTTTTGTCATCCTGGTCATTAAGCTCCTTACTTCAGGCCCACAGGAGTTTCTGGAAGGCTCTTTTGACAGCAGGGAAGAATGGGGAAAGGGCATCTTTGTCTGGCTAACATTGCCCTTCCCTTTGCCACCCCAGTGCCTGCTGAGGGTGGCTCAGCTGCCTGCCACCAGCTGCAGGCGGGCATGTGCCCTCTACTCTCTGCCAAGCAAACACAAACCTAGCACCCTGGAGAAGGCCTCAGTTCTCTATTCCTGGTGCCAAAGTGACAGAACCTAACCCATAGAGCCAGGAGTTAGCTGATGAAATTTTGCAGTTGCAGTCATGAAGAGGCACCTCCCGTGCCAGTGGGAGGTGACCCAGACACCTTCTCCTTGCCATGTCCCTTCCTCCTTCTGTACTTTCAGAGCCTCACTTGACCAAGGTTACCAGGTAAAATACAGAATACTTGTTACTTTAGGACTTCAGATGAGCAGTGAATAGTTTTTTAGAACTATAAAGATGTCCCAAATATTTTGTGCGACAACCTTATAGGAAAAAAGTTATTTGTCTTGGTGATTTATCTGAAATTTAATTTAAACTGAGCATCCTGTGTTTTTATTTGCTAAATCCGATAACCCTGATAATACCACCTGTTAGGTTTAGATCTAAAATGTCCCCCAAGTTTCCTGTATTCAGAAGTGGGGACTGGGAAGGTGATTAGATCATCAATAGGTTTATTCATGGATGAATTCAGGGCTGGATGTGCTGGTAGGAGGTTGGGCCTGGCTGGGGGTAGGTCCATGGGCTGTGACATGGAATGATATGTTCTTGTCCCTGGCTCCTCCCTTCTCTCTCTGCTTCCCGGCTGCCATGGGTTGGACAGCTGTCCTCTGACAGGCCCTTCCACCATGCTATTTCTGCTTTGGAGCCAGACAACCATGGACTGAATCCTCTGAAATCATGAGACAAATAAATCTTTCCTCCTTTAATTTGTATTTTGGCCAGTGACAGAAAGTGACAAATACACCACCTCTCCCACCATTTTATGTTTCTATAATAAAATGCCTGCAGCAGGACTTATTTACAGTTTTGGAGGCTGGAAGCCCAAGACTGAGCAGCCTCATCTGTTTGCCCTGGTGAGGGCTTCCTTGGCCCAATCACAACATGGCACAGAAAGAGGAAGGAACAAGCCTCAGCAGAAGGGGCCAAGGGCATGGGGTGTCTTCACTGTATAAGGACACACTCTCCAGGGAACTAATTGGGGATCCTTTAAGAAGCCCATTAATCTCTTCTGAGGGTGATACCCCACCCACAACCTGAATATCTTGCAGGAGGCCCAACCTCTTAAATGTTCTACCACCTCAACATGGCCATGCTGAGGAGTCCCCTGCATTCGAAATTTGAAGACAAACCACACCTAGAACATCAAAGCCTGGGTTTGGGGTGGGGAAAGACGGTTTAGAGGCAGGTGCAAGAACCCAGGTCAGGGCTGTGGCAGTCAAGGCTTCCCAGCACGAAGTAACTCAGAGCTGAGGTCAGTGGGTCTAGTCAACTCCTAGTCCTGTCAGCTGCTGAACTTTTAACTCCACACCCTGTACCTTCTCAGGATTGGGAGAATGCCCTGAGACTAGCTCTTGAGGAAAATTGGGGATGGAATCCATAGTTTGGAGGCAAAAAGGTCGGATTATTTATTTAAATAGACTTTAATCAGAAGTAAACCAGAGTTTTGTGTGCAAAAGCAGTTTAGTTAACTTAGAACAACTTTCCTGTGTGTATGTGTGTGTGTGTGTGTGTAGCTTGCACACACATGTTCCCACACAGGCCAGTGACTTCCTCCTGGGTGTTCTGGGTGAGAACCCACTCATTGGTGTGACTTCACGGCCTCTTCTGTGGGCTTGGGTGTAACACTGTAGGACACCAATCAGAAGCCCTCTGTCATCCGCTCCTCTTGCAGTGTTCCCGATCACCTGCATCCCCTCCCCATCCAGTGTCCCCAAGACAATGGCACCTGAGTGTGCCGGGGAGGATGGCGTCCACCAAGCCTCCTAGGCACGGCTGCCTCCTGGGCGAGGCCTCAGTTCTCCAAGGGCAGTGGGTACTCGGCCTTGGACAGGCCCCTCAGGCGCAGGGCCACCCAGACCACGACCCCCAGCAGCACGAGGGCGCCCAGGGACCCGAAAAGGATCCCGAAGAACGCGCCGAGTTTCATGCTCAGGTGCTCGCAGCGCTCACCCCAGGACGTGTAGATGGAGAAGGACACGCAGCTGGGGATAGAGAATGGCACAGTCAGCGGCCAGGAGGGGCTCAGCCTCCCCACGTGTCCTCTGCTGCAGGGGCCAAGGAAGTTGTCTAGGACAGGCCGGCCCACCAGCAGCTCGGAGGCTGAGCTGGAGCAAGGCCCCCGGGGCAGGGGCATGAGTGGGCCATAAAACTCCCGGACGTGATTTACTGGAATCTGCTGCACCTCCCAGACACAAGGGCCCACAGTCGTAAAGGGCCCTTGGAACAGGAACGCAAACAACAACAGAAGTGCACAGGCGCAGTCAAACCTCAAAAGTGCACATGCGCAGTTACAAAGGCCGTCCCCCAGGACACAAGCGATGTGGGCAGGTGACAAACCCCTCCCCCAGCGGAGGGGCACAAGGGCAGTCACAAGCCCCTCCCAGCTGGCCCCAACTCACCCTGCCCCACCCTCCTGGGATTGTAGTGGAGTGAGTGTAGGGGAGGGAACTGAGGTGATGAGAGGTGCCAGTGGACTCGTGGGAGCCTCTCGGACCATTATTGTCTGGAGGGGGCTTAAAGGGCCTGTGCAGGTGGCCTCCCCTGTGGGTTCCTTTCTCCCAAGGAGACAGCAGGGTGTCTTGCAGGTAACTTCCTGGGTGCCCTGGGCAGGTGCCTTATTGTCCCTGAGCTGCAGCTTTCACACCTGCAGAGGTCATCACACCCGCTCTGGGGCCCCTTACGGCAGCATCTTTATTCTCCCCACACCCTCCAGCCCCAGTACCCTTTCCCGGTCCCTGTTTTCTAATCCAAAGGAAGCCACCTCCCACCTGGCCCTGCCCACCTGCAGTGCAGCCCATCGGGCAGGTGCTGGCACTGGCCTCCATGCTGACAGTGGTCCTCACTGCATGGGGACACGCAGGTGAGGCCATTCTGGGGTCTGTAGACTAGGTGGTAACCCTCGTAACCATAGCATTTGAAGTACAAGCCCAGGTTGCTCGTGTTCACTGTCAGGAAAGATGGAGTCACATGGAAAGCAGGGGGTCAACACTAAGTTCAAACTTTTCAATCCAGAATTCCATGCACAGGGATTTCTCCTGAGAAATAATTGGAAGAGTGAGGGTGCACAAAGACATTTTCCTGTGGGTAATAGGATGGGTGTGGTGATGACATCCACAGTGTTTAACAAGAGGAGATTTTTTTTTTTCTTTTTGGTATGGGGGGATCAAACTCAGGACCTAACACTTGCAAGGCAGGCGGGGTGCCACTGAGCTAAATTTCCGGCCCACAGGAGGGGATCTTGCTGAATAGGTTACTGTATGTCTTCACCAAAGGAATGACAGTTGCCCAGGTACAGAAAATGTATTAATGAAGAGCAGACGCTTTGAACTTGGCCAGGCCTGAGAGAAAATTTGAACTCTGCTACTAGTTTTTTAATTTAGGGAAAATTCCTAACTTTTTCAGCCTCCATTTCCATATTTTAAAAATTAAATTATAACAGCATTTATGTAGATGTGAGATTTAAATGAGATACTGTAGGGAGAGCACACAATAGTGACTGATATAGTAAGCACTCAATATATTAAGAGTGACTTTGTTTTCTTTTGGTACCAGAGATCAAACTCAGGACTGTGTGCTTGCCAGGTGGGCTCTGTGCCACTGAGCTACATCCCTGGCCCTAAAGAGTGACTGTTATCACAATATATTTAAATTATATTATATTCAAATACATCATTATAAAATACAATACCAAGGGGAGTATTACACTATATGTGAGGTAATATGGCCAGCATTATTTAATGCAGAGTCTATCAAATGTTAGATATGACTTCATCCCTTAATTAAAAAATCCATGTGTGAAGCTTGCCAGGCATAAAAGAAAGTTCAGGGCTGGACATAGTGGTGCACGCCCATAAACCCAGCACTTGGGAGGCTGAGGCAGCAGGATCACCATGAGTTTGGGGCCGGCGTGGGCTACGTAGTCAATTCAAGGCCAGTCTGAACTACACAGTGAGAATTTGTCTCCAAAAAATGCAAAAAAAGAAGAGGAAGAAGAAGAAGGAAGAGGAGGAGGAGGAGAAAGAGAAGGAGGAGAGGAGGAAGAAGAAGAGCAGGAGGAGGGGGAGGAGGTAGAAGAGGAGAAAGAGAAAGTGGAGAAGGCCGTATACAAAATAGTGTCTCTGGAAATTGGGATTACAGGGTTTTCTCTTGCTTCTTTTAAACCCATGTTTTTTAAAGTTTTTGGAATAAACATTTGTGCCTGTCTAATAAAATCTGTGTTTTCTTTCTTTTTTTTAATTAATTTTATTGGTACATATTAGGTATACAATATAATGAGATTCATCATGGAAATTTGCACCTTTACATAATCCATCTTGGTTCTTATTTTTTCCCCTTTCCCCTGCCCTCCCTCCAACCCCTCCACCCCTATCTACAAAGACATTGTTTCTACTTTTTCTTTTTAAAATTGTGTTTTCTTGAACAAACATCACAGGGCTTCTCCCTTACCCCACCCTGTTCCCCCAGCCCGACTCCCCTGCACACAGGTGTCCCAAGCAGAAGGAGCTGTAAACCAGATTTTAGAAGCAGCTCTATCTGGCCCCAGGCCCTGGGAAGAGCAGTTTCTGCTGCGTTGGGAATAGTCACTGTCCTACTGTTCTCTGCCCTATTCCCCAAAATGATGGCAGTGGCGGAACTCTTCCTTGTTCTCTCTTCCCATTTCAAGGGAACCAGGGGCCGTTACTGCTGAAAGGGCCCTTAGAAACCCAGGTCAGTCCAGCCTGGGGGTTGAGGCCAGGCTTGGGGACTGTGCTCGCCCAGGCCACGCCCTTCCAGGAGGGGCATCTCTGCCCTCACGGCTCCCTGGTATCTACCGGGACACCCTGCAGCTGGGGCACAGAGGTGGAAGGGATGTCCTTGGGTGTGTGTGTGTCTAGCGAAGTGAAATTTTAAGAAAACTAAGAGACCATTAGCAGTTCCTGGGTGAAATGACCACTTGGCTATGGGCCTCCATAGAGCCATTGTCCACCGTGGGCTGTGTGGCCCAGCAATCTGTGAAGGCTCCCTCTACTTACCTCCCCCCACCCCACTGTCCCTGTACCAGATCGAGTGACTCACGCCGAGCCTGGCCATCGGACACATCTTTCCTGCTGATGGGCTGGAAGGCCACATTGTTCCGGGCCTCCGGGCTGCTCTTCTGTCTCGCACCCCACTCCTGCGTGAGGAAGGCCCTGACCACGGCGTCCAGGAGCTGCTGGTTCAGGAAGTGGATGACAGGGCCCCTGGGACGGTACCCGAACTCCGAGACTACCTTCCAGTGCTGGATGGAGAGTCCTGAGGGCAGTGCTATGGAATGGCTGTTGGGAGGGGACCAGTGAGTGCCTCGGTGGCCAGGGAGGGGGTGGGTGGGGACCTGGGGCCAGGAAAGGACAGTGGGACTCACCTGTGCTCCACATGGCTATTCCGGAGGAAGGCCCGCACATCCAGGTGCTCCAGCCTGTATGCCACCTGGGAGGGAGGACAGCAGAGAGGGTGGGATGGCCGAGAGGCCCAGACAGAGACAGCCACTCCCACAGCCCTGCATGTATTCATCCCTGTCCAGGGCACCTTTCCACAGGAGCCCAAGACCGTGAAGCATTTCCCTGACACACTCAGCTAGGCCAGTGACTGGCCTGAGTCCTCGCTCAATCAGTACTTGGTGCTGAGTGAGGGGCTTTACATTCTTCCCTCTCTCTGGCCTCACATCACAAGGGGAGAATCTGAGATGAGCATGGCAGCACAGGCCTGTGATCCCAGCACTCAGCAAGGCTGAGGCAGGAGGATTGCAAGTTAAAGCCCGGCTTGGGCAACTTAGTGACCTAACAAGACCCTGTTTCAAAATTTTAAAAATGTAAAAAGGACTGAGGATGTAGCTCAGTGGCAAGGCCCTGGGTTCAATCCCCAGTACCGCCACAAAAGGGGGAAACTGATCCTGCTCACCCACTGAGCCTCCACCCCTCCCCGTGTGTTCACAACATCGGTTTAGTGGACCTAGCTAGGGGTGGTCAGGTGCTGGGTTGTGGAGGCGACTCAGGATCAGTCTGTGCTTTAGGAGCCCATAGTCAGGTGTAGTAGGCCATGGTCAGCAGATTCTACCACTCAGTATGTGGAGTGCTGTGATAGTTGCAAAAGTAACACTAATAATTTTTATTTTGTTTTACTGAGACAGGGTCTCGCTATGTAGTTCAGGCGGCCCTTGAACTCACCATGTACTCCGAGGCTGGCCTCAAACTTGTTGAGATCCGGACTCAGCTTCCCAAGTTTTGGGATTACATGCATGTGCCACCATGCCTGGCCACAGTAATATTTTTTTTTTGGTACCGGGGATCGAACTCAGAGACCTTGCGCTTTCGAAGCAGGCGGTGGCACCACTGAGCTAAATCCCCAGCCCAACAGTAATTTTTGAAGTAGAGACTTGTGTGTTTTGCTCACATTTTTATTTAAACCTTGACTCAACCTATTGACATAGGTACTGTTATCAACACCATTTATATAAATGAGGCACTAACTTGTCTGATTTCTCTTTCTTTTTTCTTTCTTTCCTTTCTCTTTCCTTTTTTCTGTTTTGGAGTTTTAGGGATTGAACTCAGGGAAGGAAACACTGAGGTACACTTCCAGCCCTTTTTATTTTTTTATTTTGAGGCAGACTCTTGCCACATTGCCCAGACTGGCCTTGAACTTGGGAACCTCCATTCTTAGCCTCCCAAGCTTCCGGGACCCCAGTGTGCGCCAATTTGCCCCGGCTGCTTGTGTGATGATCATACTACTCTAGCAGGCGGGAGGCAGGGATTTGAACCCCGTGTACACTATAGCCTCAGCTGCTTTGCCTGTTAACAAGGTGTGGACAGGGCCTGGGGACTGAGAGGAGGGACCCCCAGTTCCCCAGGGAAGTCAGAGTGCAGGTGAACTGTCCCGGGTGTTTCCCACATCACGCCCCAAAGCTCAGGTCTCGAGGGCACTGGAGGAGACAGGTGACACACAGCCCCCTAGATTCTGCTCATGGTGACTGGTGAGTCTCACCTTCCTGGGGTCTCTTTCCTGACCACTCCCCAAGAGGCTCTACCCCCTGACACGAATCCAGCTGAGGGCACAGGAGTGACAGCCTGGCCCTCACCAGACCCTATGTTCCTGCAGCTACCAGCACTGACCGAGGCATTCACGTCCTCCTTGGTGGCATTTTCCTCCTCACGGAGCGACAGCTGGATGGGCCTCACAGGAAGTTCTGGAGGTGGAGGAAGCAGGGAGCAGTCTGTCATCCCTGGGGTACCCAGACTCAGCCCTCAGTTCCCTCAGGCTCACCCAGGGAGACAGCTCCATTCCACAAGGACAGAGGTCACCAGAGACAGCAGAAGTGGCCTGGTCTCCAGCCACACCCCAGGGCTCTGTCTGTGACCCCATCTCCCTGAGCTTTGTGGCCATTGCTTCAGTCTGTCCTCAGAAGGCCACACAGGTCTGCACTGTGACAGCTGCCATCACAAACTCCCACAGCCCCAACTTACCACACACGGGACAAACTTGGGGTCTGAGAAGCTCAGCCGTGCCCCAAATCCCCCAGCTTCTCCCAGGATGGCCAAGTGGACATGGGAACAGCAGGGACATCTGCTCATACCTCCAAGGACAGAGGGAACAAAAGTGTTCCCTGCCAGGAAGCAGCGGGCATCTGTGAAGGCTGGGGGACAGGTACAAGCCAGCTGGCAGCCCTGAGTCTGGGACACGAAGCAGTGGCCGTGGTTGTAGCAGTAATTCACCGGGCAGGACTTGTTCTGACAGAGAAGTGGGTCCACCAGGGCTGTGGAGGGAGCCGGGGTCAGCAGTTCTACCCAGGCATCAGGATGGGGTGGGGGGAACCTGTTTCCTCAGGCATCTCGGTTTCTTCTCCCCCTGCCTGCTCAATCCGTGTTTGGCTTGTGGGCCACATTTCTCTGGAAGGTAACCAGTCTTCCTTTGCTAGGTAGCTATTGTTTCACTTCAGCAGGAGTGGAGTAGTTTTTTGGTTTTGGTTTTGGTTTTTTGAGACAGGGTGACACCACGTAGTTCAGGCTGCCCTTGAACTCACTATGTAACCGAGGCTGGCCTCAAACTTTTGACAATCCTCCTGCCTCAGCCTCCAGAGTGCTGGGATTCCACCACCCCATCCAAGCCCTCTTCTTCCCCAGGCTTCCTTGAGTGAGAGTTCTACAGACTTTTGGGGAAACAGAGGGAAAGTGTTTGCCTGTGGCTGTCCTCAGTCCTGAGATGTCATCTGGGCCCAAACCCCTCCTGCCAGGGCCTGCTCCTGGCTCACCTGTGCAGTGCCTCCCGTCCCCAGTCATGAACCGGGGGCAGGCGCCACAGCCCCTCCCAGGGATGCACTGCACATTCGGGAAGCACCGCTCATCACAGGGGTCCTTGGAGCGTTCACAGTGGCGACCAAAGGTGTCCTTGCCACACTGGCAGCTGGCCTCCTGCAACAGGGTGATCAGGAAGCTAAACCAGTAACGGGCTTCTGGTTCTCTTCACTGACTCCTCTTATGCGGGAGCCATAAATCCTGAGTACTTGCCTTAGTTCTGTTTTGCTTTGTTTTGTTTTGTTTGAGACATCGTTTTGCTATATAATCCAGGCTGGCCTCAAACTCACCATGGCTAGCCTGGAACTCACAGCAATTCTCCTGCCCTAGCTTCCCCAGTGCTGGTATTGCAGGCTTGCTCCACTTGGCTCAGTTCTGCCAGCATCTCCCGAACACCCTGGCCAGGCTGGGCCTGCAAGTCCCTGCCTAACACCACACCGTCCTCCTGCTGCTCAGTGTCCCTGGCCCCTGGTTTAGCCCTGCAGCAGGACTGCAGCCTTGTCCCTCTCACACACATCTCCTTCCTGAGATCCTTGATGGATTCAGATGGGGAGGGCAAAAGGAGGAAAGAAGAAAGCAGACGGGGCAAGATTCGTGGATGTCAGTCAAGTATCTTGGCTTAAAACTTGGATAGAAAGGATTTTCTCCAAACCAAAAAAGAGATGGTTCCTTAAGCTGGGGGAGAGAGTGAAAGAGAAGACAAAGGGGCATGGGGACCTACTCTCCTCTTCCTGTCACCATGGCAATGAGACCCCAGAGGACACGTTTGTGTGCTGCTCTGGGCAGACTGGGTACAGGTGGCCACCTGGAGATGGCTTCCTGGCCCGAGCACAGGGCAGCCAGGGACACAGGCAGAGCTGGGGCAGAGGTCGGTGCAGACCTCTACCAGGGAGCAGAGACCTTCCCACCCGACTCGGTGCAGAGGCAAGGCCGAGGTGGGCATTTCCTACCGGACATGTGGGACGCAGTGAGCTGAGCTGCTAGCAGACAGAAAGTTCTGCTTCTTCACATTGAGTCTCGCTGTCCATACCCTTCCCATGCCCTTTCCCCCCTACACAGAGAGCACCCACCGCTCACCTCTAGGGAGGAGTTGCCCACCCGGCGGGTCTGGTTGTACAGACACTGGCTCCTTGAACTGCAAAAGCGGGCCACTGTCTTGGGCTGGAGGACAGATGACAAGCCAGTCTTGGGGTCTTGCACTAGAATCTCCAGGGTGACTGGTTCTGGTGAGTTTGGGGCCCACAGCAAAGTCCCATTCTCTGTGCAGGGAAGAGGAGGTGGTTAGGGGCTGGGAGACGCCTCTGCCCTGTGGGCTGATTCAGCCTGGCATCTGACCCCGAATGGCAAGTGGTGGGCTGTCCCCCTCTCCGGGTAACCCCCAAGTCTCATCAGATGTCTCCTTTGAGCAAGGGTGGAATCATGGGGTGACTGAGGCCTTGTCCCAAGGTAGAAGGGGGCAGCACCAGCCCTCCTCACTGCCCACAAGTGGAACCTCACAAAGGGAAGCCCCTTTGCCCCTGCAGAGCCCCCTGCCTGGACCTGGGCCACCATGAGGTACCTGGGGACAGGTGAGTATCTTGGTTTGGATGGGGGTTGAAGGCCAGGATGCTCCTGAAATTTCCTCAGGCTACACTGCAAGCCAAACTGGATTTACCTACAGCTGTCCCATCCCTTGCCCTGATTCTCACCATCCCTTCATGGGCCTTTGACCAGCCCCCCTTCAGACATCAACCTAGAGGGTAATCCTGTTGAATATCTCTGATCAACCTGGCTTATGTGTTTCGGGAAAGGAGGAACAAATTTTTTGAGCAGTTTAGAAGGATCTGACAGTAGGGAAGAAATGGGAGTAATTTCCATGGCACCAGGCTTCAGGAGAGGAGCATCTTGTGATGTCGCTGTCTTGTGTCAGGGCAGATGCTACACAGAATAAGAGGGATGAAGACCGAAAGGTCTCTTCTTATGCACAGAGAAAGATAACAAGACAGAGAGGTGAGCATCCCTGAGGGCTTTGGTTTAGCAAAGAGCAGGCAGTAGAAGGAAAGCGACCTCCCTTGTACTTTGTCTCTTTGCTCCAGGCTATAGGTGCCCTGAGGGTTCCTAATGCCCTCACTGAGAGAGAGTCACAAGCTTCGTTTGTTCCCAGCACAAAAAAATCAGACAGAGACCAAGCCAGGCAAACGTGGCCAACCACAAAGACAGTGAGAAAGGAACCAAGTGAAGATGTCTGTATTCCCTTAAGTCTTGTCTACATGGTATCTTTCTTTGAATTGATATGAATATGTTGGAAATGAGTATTTTTTAATTGTTTCACTTGAATATTCTAATAATTTGGTGAGAGCATGATGACTTTTAAGGGGGTCTCATCTTATCAGATGGAGATGAAATGATATTTGAATGAGCTATGTGTGCCCAGTCAGCCTCATATCTGGCCACGCCTTGGAAGGCCAGATGGTACTGATCCTTGGAGGGCACCTATCTGAATTGCTGATATTACTCTTAAGAAATGCTGGTCCTCGGTAGTCAAATTTAAAAAAGAAAAAGTGGGAAATTGTACAGGTGAAAGAGATAGAAAACAACCCAGCTGGACTCTGGCTTTATTTTCTATGCACACCGCCCCCACCCCAGCCAGAGGTTCCTACTGAGGATCTGGAAGGAGGTGTGGTTCCCTTGGAGCTCAAAGGTGACATTCTCAGAGTTGCTGGTGCACTGAAACTGGGAGGTCTTGTCCTTGTAGGCTTCCATCACATGGCAATCACTGATGGAGGGCGGGAACTGATCTGAAGCAGAGGAGACAGGAACTGAGGCAGGGCACCACCTGCCTGCCCTCTGTCGTCTCTTTCCCTGACTTGTGCAAGGTGTGCCCGGGCCTGAGACACCCCCGTGAGCAGGAGGCAGCCTGTGGCCCCATCTTCAGACTTGAGCAGAGCAGCTCTGCCTTTCGCTGCCCACCTGCCTAAATCTTTAGCTTCTCTTTCTCTGCCTCCTGCTCAAACATTTCTCACCATTTCACATTCTTTCCTGAACAGGAGGCCGTGCTGGGCCCGGCACAAAGTGAATCAGAGAATTGTATTGTTCACAGCCTCATCACAGTCTTACCTCTGAGGAAGGGCCCAAGGCCATGGGGACCATATCTAGATGGACACTGCCTGATTCTGAAATAGAGGCAGCCAGACCTTCTCAGTGGTCTGTTTCTCAGTGCCCTGCTTCATCCATTCATTCAGTAATCAGTAAACCAACACCAAAAATGTAGGTGGCCCTGTTCTAGGATACAGCATCAAATAAGTAATGAAAAAAGAGACCAGATGTAAAAAAAAATGTAGATGGTATTTGATTTTTTAAAAATCACAGGAAAGGACACATTGCCATGAATCCCCCTCAAAATACTTCTCTTCACTTTGAACACACTTTAAAAATATTATTTATTAATTTTTGGTTTTTTGAGACAAGATCCCACTATGTAGTTCAGATTGGTCTTGAACTAACTATGTAGCCTAGTAATTCTCCTCCCTCAGCCTCCCAAGTGCTGGGATTATAGGCATGAGCCACCACGCCCAGCTCAAACACTTATCCATCACTCTTATCACTTTCTGAAGCAGTTCTCGAAGTCTTCTTTCATGAGTATCTTTGGTTGTGCTGTGGTGGCTGCCTCAATAACCTGAATGGATTCAAAATGTTTCCCTTTCCTGGTCATTTTGACCACGGGGAAGAGCCAGGAGTTGCATGGTGCCAGATCCAGTAAATAAGGTAGATGAAGGCACAGGGCCATGTTTTTATGAGTCTGCCTTTCCACTGGACGGCACTCAGCTCGGTTACCATATTTGTGATTACACTGTGGAAAAAACACTCACGAAACAGGACTTTCAGAACTGCTTCAGAAAGGGACAAGAGGGCCAGGGATTTAGCTCAGTGGTTCCACCGCCTGCCTCACAAGTGCAAGGACCCAAGTTCGATCCCTGATACCACACACACATAAAAAAAGGGCGGGGGGCAAGAATGATGGGATAAATGTGCTTGAAGCAAAGGGAAGGATTTTGAGGGGGATTCATTTATTTTTATACCGGAGATCGAACTCGGGACCTTGTGGTTGCGAGGCAGGCGGTGGAACCACTGAGCTAAATCTCTGGCCCTGTCATGGATTATTTTTTTAAAGTTTCAACATTCACCATATATTTTGATCACACCTTATACCTATGAAGATTACAAAATATATTTAGCAGTTATCAATGCTAAGGAAAAAAATAAGGCAGGGAAGGTGAGCAGTAAGTGAGTGAAGGTGAAACTTTGGAAAAGGCAGCCAAGAGAGGCCTTCCTGCGAGGGTGCCATACCTGTGGCTGCCGGAGACAGGGCCTTCCTGGCAGGAGAGCAGCCTGTGCCAAGGCTCAGAGTCGCCAGGGAAACTCATGTGTGAAGAACTCGAAGGAGCCAGGGGAGCAGAGCGGAAGTGCTGGGCAGGGTTCCCAGAGGCCAAGGAGCCCCTCCGAGGCTGGTTGAGCTGGGCATCACGGGCAGGTTTGGGCCCAAGAGTTTGATGGACAAAAGGAATAAAAGGTGGAGGTAGCAGGGCGTTGTGGGAGGGGACGCCCTCTGGGAGCACCACGTACTGAGGGTGGCGTTCATCAGCTGGTTCATTCTGAAAAGCTCCCTGGTGTGAAGGCTGGCTTGGGTGTCTCCAGTGGCCAGCGTGTCATAGATGCACTGCTTGTCCCCATCACACCCAGAGGCCAGAGGGGAGTTTTTCGACAGTTGGGAAAGGAAGATGGGGGTGAAGTTGGAAGGCAGCGGGTCATGCCTCATGCCAAGGAGGCCTGTTCCATTGAGGGCCCCTGGAACTCAGGGGTGGGTGGCGGCAGTGGGATGGATACCAGCCGTGTGTCCCCCTCAGCTCACTGGGTACGGCTCGCGCTCGGGTCTGGGGAAAAGAATGGCTTCCAGCTTCTGAGTCTGGAAAGCCCTGCTCAGTGAGTGACAGCTACCCATGTCCCCATCCTGTCTTCCCAGCACAGACCTGGGGTGGCCTCACTCACAGGCTGAGGGAGACACATGGCCTCTCCCCTCTCCCTCCGGGCGCCCGCACTCACAGGTCATCCCATAGTGGAAAAGCATCTCCTCTGAGCTGTTGTGGGGAACACAGGAGCCATTGGGCATCCTAAAGCCGTCTTCTGGGTTGTTGTTCCAGACCCCTGAGGGGCAGAGCAGGAATGTCAGCCACCTTTAGAAGGTGGCTGTCCCCTCCCTGGGCTCAGGCCTCTTGCTCTAAGGAGGGAAGACGAGAAAGGAAGGAAGGATGTAGGGGGTGGGGTGGCTGTGCTGGCACACTCGTTCCCTAGAGCCATCCTCAATGCTCCCTCAGAGCAGCAGGAGACAGGAAGTCACCTCAAAGGTGGCTGAAGCAGCCCCTGTCCCTTTCCCGCTGGCTGTGCATCCTAAGCTCCGAGGACCTATGGGGACATCCCACGGAGGGTGGCCTTCACTGCGTGGGGCCCAAGTGCCTGCCCCTCACCTAGGAGGCCCTTGGTGTGGTCCCAGTACTCCTCTGGGAGGCTGGACACCGCGTGCAGGATGTTGGAGAGAGCAGTCACCGAGATGGTCACCGTGCCGTCAAAGCTGGCTGAGACCAGGGAGCCATTGCGCATCAGCAGGACTCCGGTGGCATTGAACATTTCTGTGCCTAGAAGGTGGGGAGGCAGGTGAAGAAGCAGCCTGCACTGTCACCCTGGGCCTCACGACAAAGAGGGGACACTGGGATGCCCTGAGGTTGCCTTGTGTGGTGGCCCAAGCCAAACTCTCAGGCCATCCTCAAGGCCCTTCTTCCTTGGGGATGGAGTCGAGGGGAGATCAGAGTGGAGGACCCAGCACTGGAAGGAAGGAGGGATGCAAGGAGGAAGAGCTTAATGCCCCGCACCCAAGGGGTATCTCAGGCCCAGCCGCAGAAGAGACAGAAGGGTGATGGCTCTGCTCTGCCCAGTGCTGCCACCTTCATGTCCCACCTTCCCCTCCCAGGGCACTGAGCACCCCACTGAGCCCTGACCCAGGGAGGTAGGGGAGGGTGGCAGACGGCTCTCTCTAGCCCACCTTCAGCATCTTCCTGGCTAGTCTCAAATGTCACACTCCCGTTATTGTGCAGAACGTGGACCGTGTCATTGGGCCCCAGGAGAAACTGGACCTGGACGGGAATTGGAGGAGGCCTGAGCCTAGTCACCAGGAAGAGCAGAGGCCCGGGCTTTGCTCCCAGAGGTGCCTTTGGCCGGATGTATGCTCCCTCCCCATCCCCTTCTTTGTCCTCTTCCTCCTCCAGGGCCTCAGTGTCCAGCTGGAAGTCACTGAGAGGCTATCTTGGGGACACAGGGTACAGGGACATCCTGGACGCCCCCTTACTCACTGTGATGGGGTTCAGTCTGCCGGCCTCGTACTGAGTGGCAAAGGCAATGAAGTTAGTGGCACTGGCAGAGCCGGTCTGGGCAGTACGGCCCTCGAGGAGGAAGGAGGAGTTGCTGCCCCAGGCGCGGACCAGCAGGAAGTCCCCCAGCCCATTGAAGGTGAAAGAGGTGTCATCCAAGGTGGTGATGTGGGGGTCCCCAAACATCCAGGCTGACAGAGACCAGACGACACATTAGCAGACCGCTGCTAGGCTGCGGCTCCCCTTGCTCACCAGGCGGGCATCTGTCCAGGTGGACTCAGGCCTGGGTGGATGCACAAGGGACACAGAATCCGCCCCAAACCCTTGCATCTGTGGGGTTCCACACCCACCCTCATACCTTCCCCAAACCCTCTGCTTGTCCTCAGCTCCACACTGCAACTGTCCCCCCCTTCCCATGTGGTCACAGCTCTGCCCCTGGACTCTGATCCTATTATGGTCCAGGCTCCACGTTCGGAGGCCTCACCGGGCCTCGGGGGCCTGTAGGCGGCGCAGCCGACTTGGGGCCACTGCTCGTGGTACAAGGCACAGAAGCGGGGGTGGTCGTTCCAGCGGCAGCACCAGTTCTGCGTCTCTAGTTCCCGGCCTGTGGAGAGCAACCACATGCTGGAGGCTGGGGCCCTGGGGAAGCAGCTGGATGGTTCAGTGGGGCAAGATGGCACCGGGGGCAGGAGCGTGGCTGTGGAATGGCTTTGGAGTCGGGCACAAGGCAGTTCCCAGCCCGTCCTGCTCAGTGACCTCTGCCCGTGGGTCAGGTGCTGTTCCCCTCACAGGTGTTTGGGGTCACATCACACCTGGGGACATAGTAGGAGCTGAACAATCTAGCTTCCCTGGCACTCCTAAAGCCTGGGTGTGAAGGCCAGGGCACTCGGAGACAGAGACCGGGGGGGTAGGCACGAGACTGTGTGTCCCCTGTCAAACAGGGAGTTAACTCCAAGTCTGCCCCCCAAATAGCCTGCCAATGCGGGGCCAGAGGGACAGGGTCAAACTAGATCCTCTCCCCTTTCCTGGAAAGATGTCCCACTCATGGGCAGGTGTGGTGGCACACACCTACAATCCCAGCACTCAAGAGGCTGAGGCAGGAAGATTGCCATGAGTTCAAGGCCAGTTTGAACTGCATAGCAAGACCCTGTCTTTGAAAAAGAAAAGAAGAAGAAGAAGAAGAAGAGGAGGAGGAGAAGGAGGAGGAGGAGGAGGAAGAGGAGGAGGAGGAGGAAGAAGGAGAAGAAGGAGAAGAAGAAGGAGGAGGAGGATGAAGAAGAAGAAGGAGAAGAAGGAGAAGAAGGAGGAGAAGAAGAAGAGGAAGAGGAGGAGGAGGAAGAGGAGGAGGAGGATGAAGAAGAAGGAGAAGGAGAAGAAGGAGAAGAAGAAAGAGGAGGAGGAGGAAGACGAAGAAGAAGGAGAAGGAGAAGAAGGAGGAGAAGAAGAAGAGGAGGAGGAGGAGGAGGAGCAGGAGAAGGGGAAGAAGACGATGACGACTGGAGCTGAGCTCTTCCTCACTTACCAAGCAGCTCCGGACTCTTCATGCTCCAGCCTTCCCGAAACTCCCCCCAGGGCCCGTAGCTGCAGCACACGCCACCACTCCAGGAGAAGCTGCACAGGTGCTGGCCATGGGGACCCCAGCTGCCTGCAAGGAGGCCTCACAGGCTCAGCCTGGGGCGGGGGCACCTTGGAGGGGTAGGGACACAGTAGAGAGGTGGGATGGGGTGGCCCTGGGGTGGGGAGAAGGGACTGGGAAGGGCGGGCCTGGTCAGAGGAGATGCTGGGTGGGCTTCAAGATGTCACCTATCCTGAGGGGCTGGAACCTCAAGTCCCATCGTCCCTGTTGCCAGGAGCAAGGACAGAAGATTGGCCTCCGGGCCCAGCTGGGCGCCTGGCTGCTCAGCTGCTGGCTGCTCAGCCGCTGCAGGCACCTGAGGCGGAAGTTGGGCCTCTCCTCCCTGTGCAGCCTGTAGATCTGCAGCCTCCGGACGCCTGGAAAGAAAGGGGAGCAGGGCTCATCCTGGGGCTTTTGGGTCCCCAGAGTCCACGGGTACATCCCTCGCGGCTCCCGGCTCTCTGGACAGCTCCTCCTGGAGCTGGACTGGGCCCAATTCGGACCCACAGTGACTCTTCCCCAAGGCCAGAGGACCTGAGCTCCCAAGCCCACATGTGGTGGATGATGAGGCAAAACCATGGGACCCATGCTGGGCAGGGAGGCCTTGGCTGGATCCAAAGCAAGCCAAACCCTGGCTGACACACTTTCCCCTCCATTCTCTCTCTCCAAGCTCTGACACCATCCCACTCCCAACCCCAAACCAGTTCCTCATTGTCAAACCCTGGATCTCAGCCAAGGACACCACCACTCACCTGGCCATGCCACCAGACCCTCCCCCAGCACAGACGCCCCCAGTGGCCAAATCACGGGACTCTGGAGGCCACTGAGAAGTTGGCATTAGAAGCAAGGGGCTGCTCTAACCTCACAAGGAGGAGGCACCATCTTTGGAAGGCAGATGAGACCCCCAGGGGTGGGGACTTTAGACCTTGAATTCCCTGGAAGTCAGCACTGGCCCCAAAAGACAGAACAAGATACGCTGCATGACTCTATGCCCACCCAAATGCAGAATCGATTGAGAGAACTACCATTTGTTAAGATTTTGAGATGAATATTCCTTGTTCACGATGATGTGTGTGACACACATACACACACGCACACATGAGAGGCATCCCTAGGTCACAAGCAGATGCATCTTGATGGAAGGGCCCTCAGGTGACAGGCCAGTCCCCTCCATGAGCACTGTGGCTTGGCTCAGCTTGGGTTTCTGATGGTGAACAGAGCTGGATTTGCTCTCCGACTCTCACAGGGCTGGCTCTTGTGCTGGACATCTTTGCTGTACTGTGTCTTAGAAACTGTGATTTCTTTCCCTTTGGGGCTTCTGCATGTGGCATCAAGTCATGCAGGCAGAACCATGGTTTACTTCCAGACACTGAAGACTCTTTTCAGACTCCAGGCTCTTTGAGAGCAAAGATGTTGATCCTTTTCCTCCTTTTTTTTTCTTTTCTTTTCCATGTTGATTGACTGTCAAGCCTCTGGAGCCGCTCTTGGAAGGTTCCCTTAAGGATCTCATCGCGGCTCGAAATCAGCTCAGGGACAGGACACTTGGTGTGTTATTCCAAACCCATGAACCCTGTCCTCCCTTCTGAGATCTGGACCCCAACTGAAACCTGCTGGGCTGCCTCATAGAGGGAGGGATGGCAGTGAGGTTAAGGGTGTGGACTGAACTAGCTGCTCCTGGCCAACAGGTCTGAGCCTTCCCGTCAGCCTCAGATAGAAACAGCGATGCCCTTTGGAACGAGGTGGGCCAGGGACCTGTCATCCAGGGTACTGGCATGGTGTACACAGCATAGGGAATAAGAGAAGACTGAGGCAGCAAGGTTGGCACAGTGGCACTTTTACCTAATTTGGGATCCAGGAACTGGTCTGGACGATACTTCTCCCACAGTGGCCTGGACATCAGCGGGCTGTTCTCAAAATAGCCATCTCCACTGCGGGCACAGAAAAGACTCAGGCCCCTGTCACACACAGGCTCCTCCCTCTTAGGCAAAAGCCACTCATGCTTCCATAGGTCAGTCAGTGGGGAGGTCCCACCTAACTCCATGACTAAACAGAGTACAGCAGGGTTCAGGCCTCCTTCCTGTCTGTTTTCCTTAAACTGGGGGTGGAGAGGGGTGTCTCATAGGGGACAGCACACTGGCGGCTCAGAGCTGGCCCCAGCAGCCAGTCATGGATTCACCTGCTAATTCCAGCGTGGGGACCACAGGCAAGTTACCTAGCCTCTTTGACTCTTAGTTTTCTCATCTGAGTAAGAGGGATTTCAGTAGCATCTACCTCAGCATGGTGAGGATGTGGCACAGTGACATCCCTAAGTCCCTCAGAACACACCCTAATGTAAGAGAAAAGCCTTTGTAACCATTACCCGTAACAAATGACATGTGGCCTTCATGACGAGGCAGATTCCAGGCTCAGATATCTGGGTTCAGTCCCCACTTTGCCATTTCCTAACTCTAGGAACATTACTTACCTATTTGTATCTCATAAAGAGTATCTGCCTCATAGTTGGTTGTGATAATCAGTGAAATAATGTACATGAATTTCTTGGTGTAATAAATGTTGGCTGTCATTCTTATGGTATTTGGGGAGCCAACAAAATCAACAGAAACGCAGAAGTCGGAATTACTACAACACCCAGAGACTAGGGGTGGTGGCGGCAGGATGAATGCGGGATCTTGGCATTGGAAACAGAAAACGAGAGGCTCCATGCGGGGCGGGGGGGGGGGTCACCCCTTGTCCCAGGATGGGAGTGAGCTCAGCAAACTGCACCTCCCTGTCAGCTGCTCAGAGTCCCCCACTGTGCCCATCCTACCTGGAGAAGCCCATGAGGACCGGGTTGCCCTGGTGTTGGGTCACATCCCACTGCATCCCACCGCTCTGGTACAGAAACAGGGCATAGGATCTGCTGCCATCCGTGGACAGGATGGCTTGGTAGGTATTGGTCTGAGGGCTGGAGGGAGACAAACATGGGGATGCCTGAGAGACCTGGGGTCTCCTCCCTGGTGTCCACCTGCCTAGCTCACAGCACCAGCATCAGACACGCCACTTGTTCCAGGTCCACCCCGAGCAAAGACATGGGCTGGAAATGCTGGCAAGTCTGCAGTGGGTTAGGGCAGCACCTGCTTGGGGTGTTGAAGCACCTACCATGTTGGATTTGCCTTCTTTGTGGCTATTTCCAGGGAGAGGAAAGAAGGGGCTCTGGGTTGCAATCCAATTAGAAGAGGGTTTGGAAGAGAAAGCTATGGAACTGAGCCATCACACAAGACACCAGGGCTGAGAGAGGTGTTGTCAGCTCCCTCGGGATATTTAAGGACATGGTCCTGGTGTCCCCTCCACTGGGATGGTGTGAGGGACCTGCAGGAGTAAGTTGGGGTTGCTCCCAAGGCATAACCCTTGTCCAAAGTGGGTAAGAGGGGTGAGCACAGACTCCAAAGATTGTGCCGTGACACTGTGTTTAGGAGCCAGAGTGTGGGGTCAGGAAAACCTCAGTGCCAGGCTGACCCGGCTACAGATTGGACATGGTGTCATTGTGTTCCCTGCAAGGTTTACTTGTCTAGAGGTGTGGCTCTCATGTGGTGGTGCTGAGAGTAGTGCACCTTTGAGAGGCAGGGCCTGGGGTATCCTTAGATCATTGGAACATCAGGAATTCTCGTGTGACCTCATACAGCCAATGGCGGTCCTTGCCAACCCCGCACCATGGTGTTTAGTCTTTCAGCCTCCAGAACTGTGGGCAAGTAAACCTCTCTTTCCTACAAGTAGCTGGTTTTAGGTATTTTGTTATGGTAACGAAAAGCTGACTAATATAAGCCAGTAGACAGACACTGCACCGCAAAGGCCATTTCCTGTTCCTGGTTGTGGTCAAGTAAGTAGTGGGCTGAGGCCGGCCTGGGCCACTGTACATGCTCAGTAAAATGGGTCTCTGTGGGGACTGCTGTAACTAGTGACTTTCCTGGAGTCAGTGAGGATTCTAGCAGAGTAGCCACCTCTAGCTACACATCTGCCCTTTAGGACATTGCGATGGTGCTGTCCATGGTACACTCACCCCAGAGGTCCTCTGAGCAGGGTAGGGAGAGACATTGACCCATGTGACCTTTAGGGTCCACCTGGCTTTGTAGCCCCACGAATTTGTGAAGTTTTTAATCCAAGTCTCCACCTGCTGGACTAACCAGTTGGGTTCATTGTAGAGTGTCTCATATTCCTAGAAAAGGAAGGAGGATAAGAGCAAAGAAACAAGGAGGGTCTTCCTCAACTCTGAGAGTCCCCCACTTTCTGCTTGGGAACCTGCTCATTTTAGTGCCCTCATGCCACCACCCTTCCATGCCCTAGGCCTCTTCTGGCTTTAAGGTCCATTCAAACCCAGGCTGCGGGAGAACCCAGGATGTATGGAATGGAGCGGGGTCCCCAGCCTGCAAATCCAAGTCCTGTGAACTTGAACTCACGAATCTCATAGCTCTGACTGACTCAGATGGCATTTCCAGTGTGACTACTGTTACTTTCCTATGTCACCTGGTGGCTCCTTGAGGACAGGTATGTGTCCCTCCATCTTCAGAGCCTTTGCAGTGCCTTGCTTGTGGATGTGGCACATACATGTCTGCTGCCGTGGCCTTCCTTACCTCCATCCACCGGCTGGGATTATAGACCAGTCCAGGAGCACAGCACAGACCCTGCTTGACTCTGCGGGGCTGACCCTCTACAGCTTTATTTTATTTTTACTTTTTGGTGCCAGGGATTGAACTTGGGACCTTGCACTTTCAAGGCAGATGACAGAACCACTAAGCTAAATCCCTGGCCTTCTACAGCCTTATTTTAAAACCAAACACTGAATTTCCAACCCTCATCCCTGCCACCTCAGGTCTTCACATGGTCAAGGTAGGGCTTTCCCAAGTCTATTTAACATTGCTACTTGGCTTCCTCCCAGTCGCCATTTTCAGCCCCAGTCCCTGCCCACAGAACTCAGGCTGGGACAGCAGGAATACTCTGGGTCGCTTCATACAGCTCTTTGTCTCTCCTGGCAGGCTGCTGGACACCTGGGCTTTGAAAGACCCACCTGATAAAAGATTTCTCCCTTCTGGCTGGAGAAATCAGCGTCATCCCAGAATGGAGCCACGGTGGCGACAGGGTCTCGTCCTGTGAAGCCTCCTGGGGGTGGGTTAGGGTAGGGGAAGATCTGGTAGTCCGACTCCGGGAAAAAGATCTGGCCATTATCTGTGAACGGAGCACCAGGGTTTTTGGTTAGTATTCAGGGAGAGAGGAGGTGAGATGTTCCAGGCTTGGCCCCACTCCTCAGAAGTGACAACTCCAAGGGACTCTCTGACAAGGTCAGAGATGTCAGCCATGCCTGGAAGATCATCCCATTGATGTCTTTTCTTCTGGGAGAGCTCTTCCCACAGTGACCTCACACATACTCTTCCTCCTGAAGACATTCCTCACTTCTGAAGGCTGTGTCCTTCCCCAGTGGTAGGGCTCCGTCTGTGGCCCAGCCTTTCACAGAGGGGAGAAGCCCCTCAGCCTCATCTTGAAGCTTGTGACCCAACCAATAGAGCTAAATTGGGTCTAACTGTGGTGTCACCCTCTCACTGTGTCCTGCTAAGTCACTTCCCCGAGGGAAATAGGTACCATAGTGTTCCAAGTCTATTCTGGGACTCATGGGCCAGAGAACTGGGAAGTAATCCTAGAAAAACAAGTCGTATTTCCCAGGTATAGCTTCTTACTCCTAAAAAAGGCCCTGTGAAAACATCAGTGAGCTCATCTCTTTTTACTCAGGTAAGGACATTTTTGTCCACTTAGAAAGAGAATCTTTGCCTTGCTCCCTCTTTTCCTCAGCTGCAGCCCTGACAGTAAAGAGGGTGCCTAACAAAGATGGCAGCCATTCTCCCTTCCTCATGGCTGTCTCCAAGCTGGACAGAGAAGCAGGGCCCTGGGAGCACAGCTTTGGATCCTGCCACCTGGGCTGCAGTTGGAGACTCACATAGAAGGAATCCCACAGAGAGGAGCCGAGGGGGAAGCCAATCTTGATCCTGAAGAGCTGTGAGGTAAAGTCCACAGCAATCCTGACAAAGTGCCGGTCTCCGTGGCTTACCCCATACGGGAAGAGGGGGACTCCTGGGCCAGGAAGGAGAAGAGTATGAAGTCTACATGGGCCTTGACCTTCTTTCACGCTCAAAGGGAGCCCCACAGGGCTTCCGCCACACTGTTCCTCATGCTTGTCCTCTGTTCTTCAAGGGGTTCCAGGAGAGCCTAACTGGGAGGCCCCACCTCTCTGCCTTTCCACAGGAATTTATCCCATCTCCTCAGCTTCTCCCTCAATTGGTCCTCTTGCCATTCCCTGGTCTGGAGAAAGAAGTCCTGCTGTCCAAATACTGCGTTTGTGTTAGTAGCCATCTTCTTTGTAAGGATTAAAAGACAAAACTCCGATACTGTGAAGAGTTGTATTTTAAAGATCTTTTCATGGAATGGAACTTGTTTCTTAAGATGGTATTTCTCCAGATAATTTTTCCCCAGAATTTGTCCTAGGACCCCCTTAGAGGTGCTTGAGCTCCAGTATGAGAAACATCCTAAATTTCTCAAGTGGGCTTTTCTCCCTATCCATAGCCACAGACCCATTGGCGCCCTCATCTGGTCTTACTTGGAATACCGCAGCAGTCCCTGCACAGCTCACTTGGAGCTTCTTCAGTAATGTCCCTGCAAATTGGTCCACACCAGCCACCATAGTGCTCTTCATACAGTGCAAATCTATGTCCCCGCTAGCTCCCCTTCCAAGATTCTTGCACACACCAGCCTTCTTTTCACTACTCTTCACCTTACCTCAAGCAACCCCAAATTCTTTGGGGGTCTCCTTTCCATGTAACCCTAGAACTCGTTTTTCACTTGCATGCCTTGTTCCAGTTGCTCAGACCCTCCTCCTTCCTTGAGGGGGCTCCCTCTCCCTCAGCTCCTCTTCACTCTTCCTGGGAAGCCTCCTGGTCACCTTGAACCTGTTCCCACATCCTTCAGGGGCTTTCCACTGTGTGTACCTAGTGCCCTGGCCTTGCACCCACAGGACCGCTTGATCCATCCCTTGATGAATCATTTCCCTACCTCCGGCTCCCACCCCACTGCCATGCACAGAGCCCCCTTCAGAGCCCCACTCTGGTGCTGCCTCGTGTCCCCTAAGGCTCTTCTGATCTGGACAATCAGGCTGGGATTGTTACACTCCTCAGGAGGGAACATGGGGAGCAGCTGGATTTGCAGTGGCCAGGTGGGGCAGTGGAGGTAACCAGACAACTGTTCCCTGCAACTACATGCAAGGAACCTCACTGGCAGCCACAACCATACCCTCCACATCTTCGGGGGGGGCGGGAGGGAGCCCCACCTAGAGGGCGACACTCACCTGGCTCTGGCTTGACAGGACCCGAGGAGGGTGAGGAGTGGGAGCCCCTGGGTGTGCTGGGAGTGGAGGTCAGAAGGGTTTGGGAGGTTGTGGGGAGTGGAGATGTCACTGTCCTCAGGGAGGTCATGGTCACTTCTGGACACACAGGGAGAGAAGACAGGAATGGCTCAACCAGCCAGGGAACAGTGGCCAGAGCTGGAAGCAGCTTGCAGCCTTTCTGTTTGACAATGGGTTGCACCCAAGCCACTCCCACGTTAGCTTGTTTCTGCTGGCTCCAAGGGGATGGGGGTGTTGTCACTCCCACACTCAACTCACCTTAACCTCTGTGAACCTGACCTGGGCCCTGGCCTGCAAGGCTACTTCATGAAGTTATCAAGCACTTCTCTCAGGTGACTGGAGGTCAGGGCCACTATATGAAATGGAGGCACTGGGTTCCCCACCTACCTGAGGAGCCTGAGGATGGAGTGGATGGGAAGGAAGGGCTGGTTACAGACAGGGGAGTGGCATGACCTGGGAGGTGGGTGGTGGTACTCCAGGTGGAACTTCCTGCAGGAGCAAGGGGTGCTTGAGAAAATGAAGAATTACTGACTGAAGTGTAGAAATTTGGTGTGGTCTGATCTGTGCCTATCTTAGCAGAGGTAGTAGAGCCAGAGGAAGAGAAGTCTGTGGATGGCTGTAGAACAGGATGCTTAGATGGTGAAGAAGTTTCCAGAGTGGTCTTGCTCAAAGAGTAGTTTGTAGGGGAAAATGATAAAGTCAATGTAGAGCCACTTGGGCCACCATGACTGCTTGAAGGACCCGTATATGTTGGACTTGTCCTGGGGTTGGTGGTAGATGTTGTCGTCTGAACAGATTTAGGAGGCTCATGGGAGGGTGTGCTTGAGATGCCCACTGAGGAAGTGGAGAACTGCGTGGTGTTTGGCAAGGTCTTGTTGTCAGAATCTTCCGAGGGAGAGACCCAGGCAGTCTGGTTCTCATGGACAACTGAGATTGGGCTTGATGTCAGAACTTCGCCACTTGTGGACCAAACTGAGGAAGGAGAATGAGAGGCAACATTGTGCTGTGTAGTGGGGCGCTCCACAAGTGGTCCATCAGTTCTCAGTGATGACAAAGTTGGCAATGTTGTCTGGGTCCCATGGCTGTCACTGATGGGAGTTGAGATAAAGGTTGTCATGGAGCCTGAAGGTGGCAGGGTGTGGGCACCAGTTAGTGGAGACGTGTGCCCACTTGGAGTGGAAGTAGGAGGTGAAAGTGTGGCTGATGAGATGGTGTTAGTCACCAGGGACAAGAAACTGGTGGTTTCAGACCCTCTGGTGGTTGCTGTGCTTTGGGTCTGCACCATCTTGAAAGTGGCTGATGTTTCCTGAGAAGAGGTGATGAGAGAATTTGGGGTTGACAGGTCAGTGGGTCTCCCTGTACTTGAGACGTCAGACATGGTGGGAGAAAAGGTGCTGGGGACAGAAACTCTTCTCCCTAGGGTACTGTCACTGGTAGTGATGGCAGCAGACAATTCAGTTGTTGATTGAGTTGTGTGGATGTCAGTGAAGGGAGTAGAGGAAAAGCTAGGGGTGGGGGTGGACATGTCTGGGAGAGCACTTCCAGGACTGTTTGTGCCCTTTGTTGGGGCTGAGGAAGTGGTAGTTGTGCCTGCTGATTTGATGGTGTGTGCTTCCACAGAGGTCTCTATACGCTGAGTCTGCTGGTTTGGAGGAAATGAGGCTGTGTCCTGAGCAGAAGTGCTGGAAGACACTGCTGTTGATAGTCCTGCTGGTGTAGCTGTTATTGAGATCTCTGAGGTGATGGGCATAAGACTTCCTGCTACCTGTAGGGATGTGTTTCCCGGAGCAGAGTCTGTGGAGGCTGTCCTGGTGACCACCACTGATGGCACTGAAGGTATACTGCTGACACTAGGAGATGAGTTGGTGGCTTCCAGTGGAGGGGGTATGTCTGGAAAAACTGTCTCTGTCAGAGCATTTCCACTTGGGGAAGATGAGAGAGTTGACGTGGTTACTCCTATGAGGCTGCTGGTTTGAGATTCCCTGGTGGTCTCCAGGCTTGGAGTGAAGTGGTCCTGAGGCAACACAGATGTGTCCTGAGTAGAGGTGCTGGATTGTGGGAGTGTTGATAGCTCGTTTGGCATAGCTGTCATTGAGTCCCCTGAGGTGACTGAAGTGAGATTTCCAGTCACAGATAGGGATGTGTCCCCTCTATTTCCTGGGCCAGAGTCTGTGGAGGCCGTCCTGGTGACCACCATTGATGTTCTTGGGGGTGTGTTGCTGACACTGGAAGAAGATGAGGTGCTGGCTTCTGATGGAGAGGACACCTCCTGAGAGGCTGCCTCCATCTGGGTGTTTCCCCCTGGGGAGGCTGGAGGAGCTGACATGCTCACTCCTGTGAGGCTGCTGGTTTGAGATTCCCTGGTGGTCTTCACAGCCCTAGCCTGGTCATCCTGAGGAAATGTAGATGTGTCCCAAGGCAAGGTGCTGAATGGTTGTGCTGTTGGCAGTCCGTTTGGTGCAGGTGGCATTGAGACTCCTGAGGTGACTGGAGTGAGACTTCCGGTTACAGGTGGGGACACATCCCCTGTGCTTCCTGGAGTGGAGCCTGTGGAGCTTATCTCAGTGAGGACCTCTGATGTCACTGGGGGTGCACTGCTGACACTGGAGAGTGATGCTGTGTTTCTTCCCCCTGCAGGGTCACTTTGGGTTGTTGGAGAATGTGATGTTGTCGCTGTTGTGCTATTTCCTTTAAACAGAAGATACCGGGCTTTATGAGATCAGAGAGCTTAGCTCAGAGGAATCCAAGGTTTGATGACACGAGTGCTCTGCACATACAGCACTCCACGTCAGTGGCCTGGAGGGAGAATGACTGGCTTTAGGTATTAAGTGCAGCTCAGAATCTGCAACAGGGGCCATACCTACTGATGAACAAGAACACAGCAGACAGCTGTGCCTGCGTTCTGCTTCCAAGTACACTACATTAGAACGGTGAGCAGGGAATGACAGTGTGATCCCTGCTTCCTCGTGTGAAGCCTGAATACCAAGATCTGCATCCTTCCATCCCATAACACTGTTACCTTAAATGTACACACAGATCATCTGATCAAACACTTCAAATCACCCGTGTCCCATACACTTATATTTCAAACACTACCAAGGAGATGGGTAGTTTTCTCTTTCTTGGCCCGCTTTTCTTCTCCTATATCATCCTTAGTCCTATCAGCTTTTCTTCTCATCTTTTCAATCTATCTCCCAAAGTCTCTTCCCCAGGAAGAACTCCACGATCCTCTTTCCTCTCTCATCTCTCTAGGACCCATCTGAGAAGACCAGGGACCTGGCCAGCAGGACTTTGTTTGGAAAGTAGAGACAGCAAAACACCACACACGTGGACCATCATGTGCCGCACAGGGACGTTGCCGTCAACAGTGGGCTCGTGAGACCACATCGCCTGGTGAGGGTGTGGAGATCTTCATTTGCGCGCATACTCTGTGATATTTGCATGATGATTTTACTGCCTCACAAAGCATTTCTCAGATTCTGTCCCTGCCTTGCCTGTGTATGAACACCCTCCTGGCCTGAACACGGCACCTCGGCACTTGCTAAACAGCTCCCTTTGTTCTGTCAAAAGTAGTTGAGCGAGGACCCAGTGACATGGGAGAACTTCGGAGGACTCAACTGAAAGCGAAACTGTTTCTTCCTGGGGACACTGGGGGGTCATTTTGGGAGTGGGGTCTCCTGCTTTATCATCAGTTGCATAGTCCAGTGATGGTAAACCTTTTAGAGCTTTTGATGATAACAAACAGCCCGTTCTGGCACAACTGCCATAGGTTTGCCACCACTGGCGTAATCACTCGTTTTGTTTTGTTTTCCCTGGGCACTATCATTGCCACAGTGTCTGCCACCAGTCGGTTCCTGCTACCTACAATCCAGAGCCTCCTTCCTCTGTCACTGAGGCCAGCCTGGGCTATATAACACTATCTTGTCTAAAAACACAACAGAAAGATGTTAAAGGAAGCCAATTTTTTTTTATTCTTCAGTTTGAGTGCTTGGGAAGACCGAGCTTTTGGACCACATTGTGAAGAGCTATTGAAAAGATAAGACCACAGCTCTGAAGAAAGAAATAGAGCTAAGTAATGGAGGAAATGCCTCCCCTTGATACTAAGGTACCAGTCTACAGCGATCATCTAGAAAGTATTGAGATTTTGTAAGTGTTTATTACCTGAGTGGGCTGAATTATAATGCAGGTGTGTGTGGCCACATGGAAGAGACTGTGGTCTTCCATTTAGAGGAAGAACATAAGAAGGGCTGGTTACAAAATAAAATCCCTGAAGTAAGTGGAAAATGACAGAAATTCTCACAGGATGCAGAGGAAAAGGCAAAAGAAATTAAAATGAGAAAAGGAGAGATGTAGAGGGCCTGTCCAGGAGATATAATCTACATGTAACAGGAATACCTGAAACAGAGGACAAAGCAAATGAAGCTGAAACAATAATCACAGAACTAATTGAAGAAAAGTTTCTAGAATTGAAGAATGAAGTAGGCCTGCAAATGAAGAAGGCTCACAGGGTACCTTTAAAGTTTTATGAGAAGAAAGCAAAATATTTATTTTTTATATTTATATTTATTTATATTCTTGTGACTTTTTTAAATTTCAAAAAATTGGGCCAGGGATTTAGCTCAGTGGTTCCTGTGCCTGCTGCGAAAGTGCAAGGTCCTGAGTTCAATCCCCGGTACCAAAAATAAATAAATAAATTTCAAAAAATTTTGAAAGTATCCAGACAGAGAAAACTACCCCCCCCCCGCCTCCACAGAATACAAAGAGTAAGACTTTTCTGATTCCCGCTTGTGCTCCTTGCAAGGATAAAGGCAAAATTAAATTGTAACCATGACTGGACCATTGTAAACTCCATGGTGGGGCTGTCAGGTGACAGTGCCTTTGCCACAAGCTGTGTAAATTCTTTCAACTTGAATTGCAGGTGGTCCCCATCCTAGGGGCTATGGTCCAGCATCCCAGTGGATACCATAGCCTCTCATAATAGTGAGGGCTCCATACGCTAGGTTTTCCTATACAGACACACATCCTATGATAAAACTTAATTTGTATATTAGGCACATCAGAGATTAACAATAACTAATACTAAAATAGAA